AAAAATAAATTTAATACAATAAAAATAGAATCTATATATATATTTAATTTTTGTATTTATACTTTTAATGACAAATTGAATATTTATAATTGTTAAATTTATTTCATTTATTTACGGCTCCTTTTTCTAAAAATAATGATTCTAGATTTTCATTTTCAGTACTTGTAAAGAATGATCCATTTATTTGGCAATTATTTGCAAGAAATGGAGAACTTTTTGCAAATACTTTATAACAAATAGGTGGCTTACAATTATCTATATTGTTTGAATCAAACTTAAATAATTATATAGATCCATCTTTAAGAGCTATGATAAATTTCTCACCACAAGGAGAAAAACAACCTTCAGTTATTGAACATTGAAAGAATTATGGTTCAGTTATCAGTTTGTCAGTCTAACTATTATAGATTCCCAATATTTTTCTGTTACCACTTACACCTAAATATACCTATTGGTTTTGGGAATATTTTAAATGTTAAAAATCTTCCTACAAATTAAATTGATACTCTTTATTTATTAAGAATTTCCAAATATATTTTTAAGTCTCATCTTACCAAATTAAAGTTTATGAATCAAGAAAACTAATTGACCTAAGATACTCTGAATTAATTTGAGTTTTTTAATTAATTAATTATCTGAATTAGTCATAAATAAAAATAGTCAGAAAATCTGAATATATAAAATATATTGAATATGTTCCCTCAGATGACACCATCAGAAAACGTTGTTCTTGATTAACTATAGGATATTCTTTAAAAATGGCAAGCAAAATACTAGAATTATAATCTTCAATGTAAAATGAATTATCATTCCCAATCAATCCTATTTGGTGATCTTATAAAATCTTGAAAGCATTTACAGAAATATTATTTTTTAAAAATCGTAACTGAATCGATTCTGTATTTTTAATATCCCATATTCTAATTATTTTGTCCTTTCCTAATGATATTAAGAATTAACAATTTTAGGAAAACTAAATTGCTGAGTTACAATGTTGAGCATAACTTTTAATTACTTTAACATTATACAATGTAGATAATTCCTTGATTTCATTTGGATTTTTTAATTCATATATATGAATTGTTTTCTTTCTATTTTATGCAACTGCTAATAATTTATCTTTTGTGCAAAAAGCATGAACAGTTTCAATCTTTTCAACAGGAAGCTTGTTGAATAATTATAAATTCTAAAAAATTTGAATATATTATTTTTAGAAAAAGATAAATTAATTCTCTTAGAATGGAAATATGTTAGTAAACTTATCATCCGAAGCAATCTCTACTCTTTTTATTTCAATAATTGGAATATTATCAACTTTGAAAACCAAATATTCTTACCTACATAGTAATATCAATAACTCGTCATTTAAAGAGAAATAGAATTATATTATTTCATCATTGCATTCAATTTTTTTGATGATAACCATTTACATTATAGAATATAAAAATATTTCTCTCTAATCAAATTATATTGCAACCATATTTAAACGATTTGATAAGCAAAATTTCCTAACTTCACTTTCAAAATAGTCCTTAAATTTTATTTCCGTCAATTTCATTTCAGAATTTACTTCATATATTTAGAACTTTTTATGAGCTATGGCATATTTGCAATTATTTGAAAAAGTGAATTCTATGACTGGTTGTTAATTGGAAACATAAGAGGACAATTTACAAAATTTTTCTGCTTCTTTAAGATTCCAAAAAATGATACTTTCTTCAACAATTTCGACTATTTGTTAAGAATCAGAGGTAAAATAAAATTCAAATCTTCTCATTTCTGATTTTAGAATAAATTTTTCAATAATATATTTGCTCATGAATTTAAATACCACTACTACCCCTTTATATAAATCATTTTGAAATGCAAAATATGTTCCATCATTATTAAATTTACAAGCAAAAGGAGATAAATCATCAACTTCGAATTCATTCAAAAACTTTAATTCTTCTAAATCCCAAAATTTTATTCCACTTTTTGATACAGAAGCTAATACTAAACCATCTGGTGAAACTAATATATTTTTTATTGCGTAACTATGTCCATCAAATTGAAAATTCTATTATTGCCTTAATGCTTTAAAGTTCCAAACTTTTAATTTGCTCATATAACAACTTATCAACATGCCTTTACTCGATATCAAGACTCTATCTAAAGAATCCGTATTCATCTTTTATTTAAAGAGAAGCTTATAAGTTTTCATATCCCAAACTTTAATATTAGAATCATCATAAGCACTCACAAGATATTAATCATCTTCTGACATTGAAAAATTACATAATGTACCTCTATCTTCGATTTCATCATCGATTCTGTTTATTATAGCATTCTATTTTGAATCAAAAATTATAAATTGTGGCTTCCCTTCATATACTTTAAATATCCATAAATCTGATGTATTTCTTGGTAGGATATAATGTACAGAAAAATTGTAATTAAGTTATTGAATTGTCTCATAGCCTTAATTTGTAATAGTATTAATTTTCTTTAAATAAAAGTTACTTCCTTGAATATAAAAAATCTATATCTTCTTAGTTTTTATTTAAAAAAAACACCATACATAATCTAAATACTGAAACTTATTAATTCCAGAAATATTAAGGATAGAATATGTAGTTAAAAAACAAATTTATCTTTCTTTAACTAATATTAGATGCTATCCATCTAAATGCTAAATAAATTCATTCCGTTCATTTTAAAAACCCACTAATTTTGGTTATTTAAAATTATCAAGATCAAAGCGTTAAATTATGTAATAGACCCCTATTATAAGATATTAATTATTATTCATAAATAACATTGTGTGAGGAATACCGAAACATTCAGTGGATTGAAGATAGCAAGGATTTTCTCGATCCTTAATTGTATATAAATCAATCCTGGTCTAGTCTTTGTTTTCATGCGCTACTGCTAAAATATCATCCACTTCAGATAATTATATACGACAAATTTCACTAGTATCAATATTAATTTGACTTATAATTTCTGTTTTAGAAATATTCATTATAATGATTTATTTTTTTTCAGTTGCAAAACATAAAATAGAGGAATCTGAAGAGAAAACAGCTTCTATTATTGTTTATTTTTAAATATAATAGAAGCTTTATCCTTCTATCTTCTAAATTTCTATATATTCGTTTTCAACTGTCAAAATTAATTAAAAACCTTCATTTTCTAATTATTGATTTTGACAAAACTAATGATCTTAAGTTAATAATTCTTAAAGTAATATTTTATAATTATGGTTATTCTTTAAAAGTTAGACATCCTCATTATTTGAGCTAAAAAATAGGAGTTTATTTAGAACTTCAAGGGAGTACTCCATTACAAAAATATTCTCTTATAATTTCCAAATGTCAACAATTCCTCTATGATATGTAGCAAATTTATTGCCATCATCATTAAAAATTGCAAAACTAGACTCTTTCTCAAAATCTTAAATTACTTTATAATTTTAAATATTCCAAATTATAAATTTTTTTTCATTAACATATTAAATAATATGTCCTTATTTTTTTGATACAATTAAAAAGTTAATTGTGCATTGAGTTTCAATTTTCGTAATAATATTTGGCTTTTGAATGTTTGAAATATCCCAAAAAACTATATTGTAATTAGAATGTGATACTAAAACTTATCCATCAGAAGAAAATATTAAGCTAGATATATAATGCTCACTAGTAAATTTATTTATTAATTTCATTTATTTCATATCCCATATTAAAAAAATATGGCTCTAAGCAGCATACGATATTAAATATTAACAATCATTTGAAAATTTCAAAATTGTTATTTCATATTCATCTGACTCTAAAACCCCTAAATACTATATTTAATTTAGTTCTTTAATATTCCAAATATGAGTAGTGAATTTACTTGTACAAGCAAATAATTTGAAATTGTTCGAAATAGCTGCAATCACATTTTAAAAATTTTCTAACTTATGTGGTATTCTATATCTTTTCTACAATTACTTAATATTGATAGTTTAATATATTGCTAGATACTCTTTACAATAAAAAGTGATATAATTATTGTCAGGGGATATCAATACTGTTTCTTCATCATTTAAGTTAAAAAAAGAGCAAATTTTATTAATTTTTCTTTAATTTTCAATTTCTAAAATAGTGTTAAAATATTTTGTGGTTATGACAATATTATTTCCATTTTTAGAAAAAGCAACACTGTTTTTAGTTGTATCTTTAATGAATTTAATTTCTTGGACTTTTGTGATATTTTGATAATCTTGTATGTCCCACAACCAAATGTTTTTATAGGTTAGAATAACTAATAGTTTTAAATTTAGAGAAATTGCCATTTTAAAGCTCTCGTATTTTTCCAAATCAATTATTGACTCAGTATTTGTTTAGGTATTATTTATTTTTAAATTAGTAAGTTCATTAAACCAAATAATTATATTATCCATTTTTATTAACAATTAACTTCCATCCTAACTAAGAAAAACTTTTCTATTTAAGTATTTATAATCTCTTAGAATAATACAATCATCATTATTGTTTATATTATTATTTTAATCTTGCAAATTCCAGAGTTATATTGAACTTTCTGTTTAGCAACACATAATTGATAAATTTTAAGCTATTTAAATTGATTTAATCTCATCCTTAAATTTCAAATTAAATTTTCTTTCTTTTGGTTTTTAGTCCAACTTAAAATTAAATTATCTAAGTATTATTTAATGCTCATTAAACTAACTCAAAGTATAAAATTCATCTCCATTTTCACTCAAAACTATTTCAAAAAATCTTTCACCTTCATAATCTTTTGTAATTCTTTCTTTAGTAATTATATTAGTCCATTCTGCATCAGTTATAATAGCATTATTAAAATTACATGAATCAATAGAAACTTAATTAAAATAGGTCTTAGATAGCCTACTCTCACAAAAGCTAAGTCCATTTATGTATGTTTCTGATATACAAACTGAATCGAAATCTTATAATCCTAGATTTTTCCCTAAAAAACTCAAAAGAAATATAGAATTTGAGGCTAAACGAATAAACTTTGAGTCTTTTTACTTTGATAGCTGAACTAATGACACCAATAATTTTGTAATATCATCTTTATTTTATAGTTTCTCTTTTAGTAACAATAAAGCACTTTAAAAATGTTCATGTGACATATTAAATAAATCATTGTTCATCAAACTATTTTCAAGTTATTTTGTATCAATTTATTATTCATCGCTCAATTTATTATTGTATATATTTTCTAATATATTAAATATATATTTTGCAACAAAATATTCTTATATTGATTTATGAGTAAATTAATGTTAACTTCCTTTAGAACTTAATAGAATGCATTTTTTTATTAACTGTTTGTAATCAGAATCAGAATCCAATTCACTAAAATATTAATCTTCCCATTATAATTGTTTTTTCAAATTTTATTAATTTATTGAAGTAAGTGTTAATCTTCCTTTTGGCTGGTAATTCACTTAAAATTATTGATGTACCATCATATCTAAAGCTAAAGATTAAGAAAATTCTAATAAATCAATTGAAATCATCTCTTAATTATTTATTTTTCCTAATTGCATCCATTTTTATAGCTATTGCTAATGATAATAATTAATAAACATCTGATAAAAATCATAGGTAGTGAATTAATTAATTTTTAAAGCTTAATAAATTACTTCAGCATCAAATTTTAATTTATATTCCACATTTTATTGTATTATGAGACAATCCTCAACCTCTACTTTAGAAGATATTTAGTATTTCTCAAAAAATTATTGACCTTCTAATTCTAACATAATTTCAGATAATTGTTTTTCAATAACTTAATTGAAATTGACTTCTATTTTTATAGTGTCTTTTTATTGGTAATTTTATAACACTTGCTTTTATTAAAGTATTTAATATTTCAATTTTTTATAATTATTTTACACCAATTCTCTTATTGTTGAAGATTTTTAGTAGTTTTAAGATATTTTTGGTAAAATTTATACAATAATTTCCATCATAAATGGTGTTCTCAAAAAATCGTTAATTTTTAAGTTTTGGATAATTTAGATGAATTTTTATTCACTCCATAATGAAAGAAGTCCTTTTTATAAAAACAAAAATTATTGATCTTTAACAAATTGAAATTGTGGTATTTATTTTAATTTCTTGATTATTTTTTTTGCATCTTGATCTTATACAAGTACATCCTAGTTTTATGAATTTTATAAAATTTCATTTATTAAACTATCTAGTTATGAACAAATGTTTCTAAATTCAGAAAATATAAATCCACTGCCTTTTAATTATTTAATCATTTCATAAAATTATAATAACTCTCTTCTTATACTCATTTTAATAAATAATTATAAGTAACGACTACTTTGTTCTTGATTAAATGGAACCAATTAAACTTCTTTAAATGAATCAATACTTTTTCCATAAAACCAAGATTAATAAGTTGAAGAAGTTAATATTTCTTCTCTACAAGTAATAATAACTTTGATCTTCTATCCAGATTCTTAAAGACCTAGATCTTAACTCAAACGATTTGTTGTAATTAAGTTTGTTTAAATAAATTCATTTTTCATCTCGTCATAACTATCCAATATCAAAACAATTTTTAAATTTTCATTTTAGATTGCCTCTTTAAATTCTCTTATTTATAATTTATCAAAATTGTAATTTTCTGATTCTAATCCTTAATCAATTAAATTATGTAATGGATCATTTAAAGAAGGTAAAGAAATATAGATTGGATACCAATTTGGTTATTAAGTATCAAATTTCCATAAAAATTCTTCAATATTTCTTGCTGCTCTGCTTTTACCAGAACCAGCTTTTCCTTTTAATAATAATACATCTTTATATCTTTCTTTTTCGTCCCATAAAAATTCATTCATTTCACCCTCATAATCATTTTAATCGTCTTTAAAAAGAAATGTGATTTAAGGAGTATATTTATCATTTTCCAGAGTTACTTTTTATCCAGTTTTTGGATCATACTCCTATGTTCTCTAGTCAATATAAATTTAATTTAATTCATTTTCTTCCTTTTATTATAATACTTTTTCTTTTCTTAATAATAATAATTCATAAACATTCTTACCTCTTAATTTTCTAACATCTTTTCCAATTTCTGATACATTTTTTATTAATTGATCTAGTTTACATTTAATTGTTTACAAATTTTTGCTAATATCCTTTAAAAATATCATTTATATATCTAATTTTTCAGACATATCATCTAAATTATCTAAAAATATTTCAAATTCATCATAAGCCTGCTAAAACTAAATTTATAATTCCTCTGAATTATCACTCTAAAAGATTTGATTCTCTAATTCCTCAATTTAATTTAATTTATTTGTCATATCTTGTTTTAATTAATTTGAAAATAAAGAAAGATCTTTTGAAAATAATTATTTTTGCATTTCAATCATCTCTTGATTTTATAACACTTTCCTTACACTAAGATTTTGTTCAATAATCCAAATTTGTTTTAAAAGGTTAGAACATATATCTTATATAGTTCCCTCCTAAATAACATATTAAGCTTTAATCAAATTAAATGCAAGCAATTCTCTCACTTTATGAGAATTATTATCAAACAAAGTTAATATCCTTAATTTTTATTATTAAAAAGATTCCTAATTTTATTGTTAAAACATAAAATTCAAATTCTCATCAAGTTTGATTTCTTCAAATTAATTGTTCATTACATTTGATTGATTGATATTTGAATCAAATAATATTAAATAAAATTAATATAAATCGCATTATTATAATTAATTAAGTGTACTTTATTCTTCTTAATCAAAGATATTCTAATTAATATTTTCCAATTGATCTTATGTTTTTTAAATTTGCTCTTAAAGATTTTTTAGCATTGGTTCTATATTTGAAGTGTCTTAAGTATTTTTGTTTTAGAATTATTCTTTATTTTGATCATTTTGCATCATTTAAAGAATATTTAAATTAGATTTTAATACAAATCTTATTTTTTTTGTCTTTTACAAAATATTGCTTAAAGATTTAATTAACTCAGGTTCTTAAGAAAAATAATTTTCATTTTTATTAGAGTTATTAGTTGATTGTTTCTCACCCTACATTTTAGGTTCTGGATCTTCATTTTTCAAAATTTCATTTTTTTTTTATTCATAACTGTCTAAGACTTCTTGTAAAATTTCATTTTTATTGTTGGGTACAAATAAAATCATTTATATTTTATTAAATACTTCTTAAAAGGAAATGATAAAATTATTTTTAAAAAGTTAATCGAAATCACTTTTAGAAATCCATTCAATATCTTAAAGAATTGATTAAATAACATTAGTATATTCTTAAGTTTCTCCTTAATTAGACTTACTTTTAATTAATTCTAATTTGGCTATTTGGCTTTATATTTTTTTAAGAATTTAATCTTTAAAAATTTTCTTACTTTTGCTGTTTGAATTATTTTCTTCTGTTTAACTCAATAATTTAGTTAATTTTTCTTAAACTATTTTTAATTTTATACTATTTATTTATAACAGTCGATAAATTGTAAAAATAATAACAATAAGACTTCTAGACTCATATAAATACTATTGGTAGTTTTTTGACTATAATTTACATTTTTTAATTGAGAAATTTTATTAAATAAATTGTTTGGATTAAACTATCATTTATTTGAAAAAAGATAATTAATAAATTTCTTTTAATTTCCCTGACAGCATTTTAATTGATATTTTTTCTTTAATTACTAATTGAAATGATTTCTGGCATAATATTGATGTAAAATTTGATTATAATTCTTTTATTAAATTAATTAAAGTATTTACTTGAATAGTTATCTCGGTAACAGTAGATTTAAATTTATCTTAGTAATAAGAATTTCCTTCCTCTAATTCTTTTTAATCCTCTGGCTTTAAAACATCATAATTTAAATGTATAAATTTCAATAAGAAAAACCAAATATCAAATAGTTAACTGAATTTCAATTATTAAAAAGATTAATTTATTTTATCAAAGGAAGCAACAAATAAATTATATTACAATTGTGATTGTAATAAACAAGCTTCTTCATTTGATTTTAAAGTTTCCATAATTAAGCTAATTTTAACTTTTTCTTAATTTAATTTGATATCAATTTCATTACAAATATATATGAATTATAAGGTGTTTTATTTTAATTATTTTAATTCACATTTTAGATCTTATTTTTAGATATTAAGTTATATATTTTAATCCTTTTTAATATTAAATAATGATATTTTCTGTTATATTACTTCATCAATTAATTTAAAAATCTCATCTCTTAAATGTTATAAAAGTGTATTTAACTTAAAGATTTCATCACAATTTGTTTAACTTCTCAATAACTATAAATTTAAATCATATTTGCTTATATTATAATTTTATTTATTATTAATGTCAAAATTTATATATTTATGCCATAAATTGAGTTAATGAACTTCTTCAGATATGAGATACTCTTAAAATATTTTTAATTCCTTAAATATTTAATAGTTGGATTTTTCTACATTAAAAATTTAAACTCTTGCATAATTTTTATCATAAGGAATAGAAACAATATGTTAGGAATTTAATAGCTATTTAAAAATTTCATAATCTGGTTAGGTGGATTTAATTATGTTTGGAATGCTTTTCTTGTTAATTATAGGTCTATATGAAATTAAGTCAGATATAACATTTATCCAACAAAAATGTATCATCCAATCTTTTGATGGTTCTATATATTTTTTATAACCTTCTTCAATTTATTTAATCTATTTTTATACAGAACAGCCTTTCAACAACTAATTTAAAATAGACCATTTCAAGCTTTCAAAAAAGTAATATATTTCATATTTTTATATTGGATTCTTTATTTAACATTCAAAAAAATTCATCAATATAAACTTAGCACTTTCAATTAAAGATTATATTAATTCATCACTAGGCTTAAGTTATGCAATTGATGATACTATTCCACTTAATACAGCTAATCCTAATTCTTTAGGTTTCTCAGAATTAGTCCGACAATGAGAGAGCCACGTTTTTATCAATTAAATTTCAAATTCAATACCAGTGATCCAAATGTTGGTGGATTCTATTTACATCAAAGTTTCAATATTAGCAATTTATTCTAAAAAAACTTATTTTAAGTTCTCTTGCAAAAATCTATCTTCGTTTTTTAATTGATAAGAAAAAATAACTCTTATTAAACAATTACAAATTTATAGTAACTAATAAAATAAATATCCTGAACTTTGTAAATAAATATCAAGGCATTTCATTAAGTTTTCTAAAGTTTTTTCAATTAAAGGATAATGTTTTAAAGTCATTTAATCATTCAAACACAACGACTAAATATATATAGCGTTATCTTAAAACCATAAAAGTGCTATCAAAACTTCATTTTTTTTCATTTTATCAAATATTATAGATGCTTTTTCGACAATTATATCTGAATACTTTTTAATATTTGAAGAAAAATTCACTGGAATATAACTTGGTAAATTAAGAGGTTAAGAAGCTAATTCTATCGAACTTCCACATCCGCCACCTCTTAACATTTATTACTTAGGATGTATCACTAATTTTTTTGAGGGATTGTCTTGGTTTATCAGAAATTCTTCTAATTTTTGTTTCAATTATTAAATCTGTGCTGTATTTTTGCTGCATTTGACTTTTCTTTCCTTTATATTCATTGTAATAAAATAAAAATAATATAATTATTTGTCAGATGATTATCTCTTTATTTACAAATTTTTGTAACTGACAAAATAAATTTTATATTTCCTAGTTTAGAGAATTATTTTTAATTCACCCTTTAACTCTATACAATTATTGTCTTTATTTATTCTTTTGATTTTATTTAAAACTTTCAACTTTTTATTAAATCAATACTTTTTTTAAAGTTCTTTAAAATAAAAAAAATTTACATTTTAAACATTTAATTCATTCTAATCATATCAATGGGTTGATTATTTATTATCATCTCTTATAAATTCAAGAATTAAATTCCAAAAAAACAAAAAAATAAATATTTCACTTACCAATAAACACAAATATTCATTATTTAATAATAAAATAAAACGAATGCGGTATTTTTAATAAATTATTAAAAGTATTAAAGAAAAATTAACAATTCATAATTTGAAAGAAAAATTTTATGCCTTTATGTGATAAGTCAAGTGTGAGAAGTTTGTTTTGACATTTGTAGCTTTATTTGTTCCTAAATAATAGATTAAGATTTGCACTCTTTCCAATTCATACATATTGTCCAAAGTTAGTTGTTAATAGAATTATATCTTTAAATAATCTAATATATTTTTAGAAGATGGAATAGAAGGTATAATTTCAATTCTTAATAAATGTATGAAGCAGATTCAGAAAAAGAACACCTAGTGATAATAAATTCGATTGAGTATTTGATTGAGTGATAATTCAGTATAACTATTTTGGTTAGCATAATTCATTCTCATAGTAAGTTGATCAGTTTTCTTACATCTGTATGAATTACTTGAAATCCATGGTTTTATAATGAGGAAATGCAAAATTGTTTTTAAAACTCATTAGCACAATGGTTGTAACAAAAGATTATGTATAATAATGATTTTATTTTTGTTTTTTTCTTGGTTGAAGTTTGCATAAATTGATCTTGAGATTGGGTAAATAGTTAAGAAATATTTGTTGAATTATGAGATTGGCTAATAACATATTAATAATATTGATTTAATCAAATAAAGGAATTAGAGAATTCACTTTATTATGCTTAATTAATTTGTAATTATGAGTATATGATAGAATTATAAATAATAATTATGAAAGGTACAAATAAATGGTATAAATTTTTTATTTGATAGAATCTTAAATGAGATTTTCAATAACAACTTCAGAAGAACGCTTATTATTATAAATTTATACAAAACCTAAAATAATAGGCACTAGATGTTCAAAGAATGTTAAATAAATTGAAAAATGAATTTGGAGAAGAAGATTGCTAAAGAAGTATTTATATATTCAACAATGTAGTTGGTTTGAGTAATGGAAGTAATATGTTAATTATGAGATTGTTATATATAATAAAAATATTGCAAATATCTCTTAAAAGATGCCTCAAAATTTCAATAATGATCTAATTAATTTATTTATCAAACAAATAGTATTTCAAGTATGTACCTATGAGTAAGAACTCTTGGAATTAATTATTTAAACAAATCTTATTGAGGGAATACATTATATTGTAATTACAAAAGAACTTTTATCCTATTTTATATTATTTCATGGAGGCGTAAATATTATAAGAAATTTTAGAGGTAAAAGCAAAGATAAAAAGGTTGCTGTTAATTTATTAAAGTATAAAATATCTTATTATTATTATAATAGTTTAATGTTATCATCATTAAATCAATTAGAATTAATAGAATTATTAGAGGCTAACTCACTTAATTTAATAAATTCTCTTTGCAAGTTGATGAAAATGCTAATCTTAGATACCCTAATAATATTGACCATCAAAAGAACATTTTGATGAGATTAAAAAATAAATAAAAGATCTTGATGTTAATAAAGAAATAGAATTCCATATTGTCAGGTATATGCAAAAAGGTTTCATATTGTTCAGAATAATGTAAAATTAAAGATGAATCATACCATCTCCCAAGTTGTGATAATTCTGGATCTAATGATGAATAAGTTAAGTCGAATGAATTGCTGGATTGTATAATTTAGGTAACATTGGTTATATTAACACTTTTATTCAATGTCTATCTTATACTTATCAACAAACAGAATTCTTTTATCAAATAAATATTTTGAAGAAATTAATAAAAATTCTCCACTTGGATGGTTAGGTGATAGAAACATTATTTACCAACAGATTTTAACCAAACTTTAGGTAATTTCATACCAGTATTTAAGAGATTATAATAACATGATGCTTCAAAATTTACAACATATTTATTAGATTTTTTATCTGAGGATTTAAATGGAAATAAAAATAAAACTTAAACGAAACCTAAAGATTATCAGGATAAACCAAATGTTGAAAAGGCTTAAGAAAGTATCTAGACAAGTTAACTATCAATTATTATTTATTTAATGTATGGTCAATATAAATAAGTATTGAATTGTCCAAATTGTTATTATCTTTTAAAGAAAAATTGTATGTTATTATTGAAAATTAATATAAATTTACTATTATTAATATCTATTACTATTTAAATCAATTATTAACTTATTTGATTACTGTAATTGATTAACATTACTTTTACTTCATTCCTCTATATTAAGTTAGACCTAGCAAATTAAAAATAAAAATACATTTAAATTAAAGTAAATTTAATCTTTTGTTTCTATTAAATATATCATA